TTGTTTTTGACATGTTGTTAATATATGTCTTAAATACCTTAAATACCTTATTTCGTCGTCTTAAATACCTTACAACAATTTTTAGTCTCTAGGGTAAAACTTTGTTGCCATTTGAAGAATTTTATTGGCTCGATTATTGCATCATTTTGCCTCAAGCGATAAATTGAACGAATACGAGTTTTCTTGTAGATACCTGTATTGCATGAAATTTTAATGCAAGACGTTTTTATCTTACAAAAGTAAAAGTGATCGTTTTAATCTGTTAATCTGTTAAATCAAATATTTTTTGAAAATAAAAATTAGAATAAAATTTTTAAAAATAGAAATTAGAATTTTAAAAATGTAGAATTAGTTTTTAAATTTATTATTTTTTCATTGAAATTGTATGTTTTTTATTTTGTTATTTTTGTTGATCGTCCGAAAACAAATAAAAAACTGCAAATAAAATATCGTTGCAAATATAGTACTATTAAAAGTACCAAAAATAGTAGATTGCAAATATCGAACTGCGTTTACGTATAATACGCGAATGTAGAGTTTGTTATATAAAGAATGATTGTGGAATGCAGATGAGAGATTGCAGTAATGCTAAAAAACAATAGCTCTTAATGCCCCGCTGCTATGAACATTTCTTCCTTTACTAATTTCCGTTGCGTGTCGCGTAAAAACCTTTCGAACGTAATGCTCATTTTGCTTACGATGTTAGGAATGCAAGGGGGACGCATAGGTGATTCTTTTTGCTGTAACGCGTATTTTATATACGACAGAAAGCGACGAGGAGGATTTGTACACCGCAAATTGTATTTGTTAAATGATAATTTCTGTCATAGTGTTTGCACTATAAAGAGATTTATATATTAATATATTTATCAACGTGCGGAAAAAAAGAGTTGTTGAATATAACATTATGAATTTCGAAAACTTTATCTTCAGAAAACGCTCTTATAAAATTATCTTTTAATTTAATTTTTAATAATCAAATGTCACTCTTCTGTTAATAAAATATTAGGCATCAGTATTAGGTATCCCTGTCGCCCGATATAAAATCTTATAAATTATTAACAAATTTTATTGAATTATTAAAACCAAGTTACAAAAAAAATAATAAGTAATTAAGATAGAAAGTTTTTCACGTTTACCGTTTGTTACCGTTTTTCTCATAAGCCACAATACTTAGGATATTTTTTGTTAACGGATCCCACCGTCACATCAATTTCGCAAAAGATCTCCACTTTCACATTATGTCCCGGACAATACCATTAGGTGGTGAAATCACCACACTAGGAACGTAACACGCAGATTGCAACCGACAAACAGCTGACGTTTTACCGCGATTTTACATTACTACAGAAACAGCAAATTATTGCACGTCTTTTGTTTGCTTTTTCTTGGCGACTTGTGTAACACAATTGACTCTTATTTGATATGTCAAGGAACCGGAAACGATCCATTAAAAACGTATCTTCATAAAATTGTTCATGAAGTGTAAATATTAAATTAGTCAGTGTTCTATAAATAATAAGAAGGAAATATCGTGTGTCCTTGTCGAAATTAAAATATTTTTTACTTGACGGGTTATCTTGTTTCACTTATACATTTCTTCTCAAATAAATATTATTCCGTTTTTCTTCATTTACTTTTTGTCAATAAGAGCAAAATCAAACAAAAATTAACGGTAAATCATGAATAATATTTGCGTTTTCACAGATCTAATTAAGTGATAAATCGCGTGTAAAGCGCAGCTGCGTCTGACAGACTCGACGTATGCGACACTATGGTCTCTATTCGAACAAAATCTCGCACGTAATGTTACGTAAGCTGAGTTCAGGAACTAAACCGAGAAATGAATATGTATAATCATCTATGCATGAGAGCAAAAGGACAGAAAATTTATAGCACCAAGCGCGGTAAAAGAACAATCGCCACACGCGATGGAACATACTTTTTCTCGTCATTTACAGTCGTTGCATTTGACGCATGTAAAACATGCACACATTGTGCATGCGTAAATTGAATATTATACAGAGTGTCTCAATTTTCTTCTAGTAAAACGCTCTCAGATTCTTTGAAATGCTTTGAATTTTGTATTAATTTTTATAGGACAAAAATATGATAGGAATATAATCGGTTGTCGCGATTACATTGTGTTTATTCCACACCCAATGTTTCGGAAACTTTCTCCGACAGAGATTGTTACGAAAGCACTCGATTTATGACAGTGACTCGAAAGTTGTTAATGGATCGTCTTGAAGAACTTTGTCCACTTTGAGTCACAATTCTGTTTGAACTGTGTCATCGAATTTATTTCTGGGACTATCGATCTTTTTACCGGCTGTTACAGCAAAAAGTCATTACATAAAACGAGACTTCTTGACATTGCACTGCTACAATATTTCAGAAGGAAGTAATTCTATTTTCTTTTCTCACACACATCGGTTCTCTTTGTTTTCGGTTTCACCTAGAAATGCGTACTTGAATTCTGTGGAGAAATTAGGATATCTAGAAGGCTTTAAAAACTATAACATACATATGTCGTCTGACATAAATATCGTGCGACAAATGTCACATGATATGTATGATAAATGTATGCAGAATTCGAAACATCTTGATGCTAATTTAAACAGTTTTTATTTAATTGATTTTGTATCGGCACTTTCTTCATTTAGATACAGGTTTATCAATATTGATTTATATGACAACTTTATGTGTGGCACAAAAAATTGTTCTTATTTTTCCGAGATTACAAGTTATATCTTCTTCATAAAAAAATTAGTATGATTGTTATTTTAATATTTAATAAGTTTATTATTTTACTATTAAATTTAATTAATTGCTCTTATTTTTTGTTTCTTATACGTTAATAGTTCTATTGTTACATTTAATTGATAAAGTTTTTATCTGATTTCTGCTAAAATATATTTTATTTTAAATTATTATCACAGAGAGGAATGAGGTGAAAATAGAAAATAAATCGAAGCTTATTGTCGTTAAGATTTTAAATAATTTAAGCGAAGAAAGGTGTGAAAAATAACATCGCGGAAAAAGCTTATCGTAGCTGTTTTTCGCATTTGATCGACACGCGTGTGCTACGTATGCCACGAGAGATAAGGCAATCAAGCATGTAACGAGTCGCACATGTCGCGTGCTCATCATGCGAACGCGTATTATGGGGCTACTACCGCAACTGTGCCGCGTTTGCGAATAGGGGAACGCGGAACAAAGCGCTCGTTGCTTCGAATATACTGCTCGAGACAGGAACGGATTAAGTCAAAAAGGAATTTGGCTAGGGGCCATAATTTATCGCAGCTTTCCAGCTTTTAGCGTCTGACGATTCCGGCATCTAAATTTCAGATTAAATTCCTCTTAAAACGAGCTTGAAATGAATCGGAAAATGAAAGTTTACTGTCTAATTATGTATATTTTCAAAGTATAATTTGCGTAAATATTGCCCTCCCTCCATTGTTTATAAAAAGTTATTAACGCATCAACTTTAAAATTATCTTCTTACTTTGAATTATAGTATCTTTTATTTTAGTAATCCTATTTAAAAAGACAGTCTCATGATATTATAGTCCATCATCAATTTGATCAATTAAGATTGGTGATTTATGGTTACTTAAATGATTAACGCTCTATTACCATCAATTCTGTAATTAAATACGTGACATATAGAGTGAATTATTTTATTTGATATTTTAAATCATTTTTATGTTCTTTTCCAGTAGAAATTATTAAATATATATTCAATATTATAATATTATATTTATTATATAATTTTTTGAATGTTGCAAAGCGTGAATAATATT